CCCCCCAGCCTCCTTCACCCTTCTCTCTTATTTTTTTTTTAGAAAGCAAGAAAGAGAAACGCAGACGCAAAGAACAGAAAGGAAAGAAAAGAAGTAAGAAACATCTGCAGCAACCTCCAACCATCCGCGGGATGCTAATGGAATCACTCCTCATTAACCAAAGCTCACACTGTGTGTGGCATCCTGGTGGAGGTCGCACCTCCCACTCGTGACTGTTTATACTATACCGCCACCAAAAACACTTCAGATTTTATCGCAAAAATTCGACCCTGCTAGTTAGTGCCAACCATGGCTGAGTTGGATACAGCATCACAGCAGAAAAAAACTAGATACTCAACAATCAAATAAACTACTACACCACACGTGAATCGAACTCAGAACTTTAGTCATGTGCAGAGGCACAACCCCATTAACCTACCACCACAAACTCTCTGTCCCAGACAAGAATGAACAGACTGTAGGATTGTTACATTTAATTAATACTTCACATACCACTGTGGATACATTATCTATATCCCAGGATGGACGCTTAATCTATATCCCAAAATGGAAGCATTATATATCCCTCAGAGTGGATACATTTTTTACATCAAACTGTGAATGCATTATCTATATTCAGCTGTTGATATATATTCCAAAACTTACTATGTATCTCCCAATATGGACACATTATCTATCTTCTAATATGGATACATTATCTATCTCCTAATATGGACACATTAGCAATATCCCACTGTGGCTGCCCTTCCGTCATGGAACTGCTACAGAGATGGAGGACAATGATTGGTGGGAACCAGAAGGGAAGAAAAAGCAGGAGTTTAGCAGAGCTGCATCCCCATCTCCCCCCAAAAAACCAATGTGAAAAAAATAATAATCAATAAACAGAAAATAAATAAATTTTTAAAAACATGCAAAGAAAATAAATATTAAAAATCGACCCCCATTATAAACAGTGCAAAAGTCATAATTGTACACTGCACACTCATGCAATGCGAGCCGTAGGTGAACTCAACAATCTCAACAGAAAGCTCAAAAAGTCTCCAGGCTGGACAGTATCCATCAAACACATAAAATACCAGAATCTAGGTCGAGCAACAGGAACGTCCAAAGCACATTACAGAAACACCAACGGAACCCACAGAGTCTAATATTTCCTTATGTAATGGTTGGATCAGAACAAAACTGGATGGAAAGAGAAGAAAAAGAAGAAAACGATGGACAAAATGTTTTTATGAAGGTTGGACATAAATCAAATTCATGTTAAAAAATATAGAGCACTGACATATGAACAAAGAAACAAACCAACCGGCAATGGGAGAGATGTACAGAGCCTAACTACAGTAAAACTTATGGAAAGAAAACATCATGCAGAAAAAATGTCATCAACATGCAGAGTGCTACAAGTCATTCAATGACCAGACAGGAGACAAATTAATGTTCCTTTGTGCATGATGTGTGAGTCACTGCGTGTTTGTATGCGTGCGTGTGAGCGTGTCTGATTATGAAGCCCTTCACAGCTCTAGAGGCCTAATCCCAAACCTGAAATAATATGTGAAGGAGAGAGAGAGAGAGAGAGAGAGAGAGAGAGAGAGAGAGAGAGAGAGAGAGAGAGACAGACAGACAGACAGACAGACTGTCAGTGTGTGTGTGTGTGTGTGTGTCCTGTCTTGAACATCGTAAAAGAGGAGCCACTTCCAACAAAATAAACCTAAAGGTGAGTCATATGTGTGGGGGTGGTGGTTGTGTGTCTGTGAGAGAGAGAGAGAGGACAGAGAGAGAGAGAGAGAGAGAGAGAGAGAGAG